CATTTGGGAGTGGCTCAAAAATAAACAGGAGGGGCCAACCGCAGGTTTTGGTACCCAGGTTTCCACTTACCAGGGTTCCATGTTGGTACCGCTTTTGAGCCACAGCCATTTGGGAGGTTCCTTTTGCAGAAGCTCCATGTGCTGAAGTGAATTGGAGCCTTGGAATTGCTCCAACGCTTCAAGTAAACATGTCACTTTGTTCCGAGAGCAGAGCTTCGGATGTGATCGGGTTTCTTCGGAACGGTTCCTTGCAAAGGCGCAGGGTTCTGCAAAGATGGATAACATAGTCGTGGCTTCAGTCCCCCATGCAACACAACTGCCATCTCCTTAGCTATGTTGTTTTGCATGTCAAGGTTAGCTGAACATGGGCCAGAATAACAAATCTGACTTTTTGGGCAAAAGCCGAGGCAGGCCAGATGTTTGTCTGCAATTTCCTGCGGTTGCCACACGACCGGACCGGACGACCGCGCGAAGACACTCCTGTATCAGGTTGGAAGGCTTGGGTTTACAGGCTTCATTCTGCAAGGAGTGTATTGGATCATGCGGGGCCTTTTGGCTCAAGTATGATCCAAACTGGCTAAATTTTAACTTCTGGTTTTGCGTGTTCGGCAAGGGTTACTTGTCGAATGTTGGCAGTTCCAGGAGTTGACTTGGCCGTCTACACGGATCGGCCGCTGTTGTCTGCAGGCGCCTACATCGACTTCAAGCGCCATGTGGGCACTCTGCTGGAGCAGGGGAGTCATGGCCAGGCCCGGCTGCTCTGGCTTTCGGCTGTGGAAGTGTTGCATGCCCCCTTCATGCAAGCACCCCTGCCCTTGGTTGATAGTGGGGAGATACCCCACTTGCAATTTGCACCCTGCACCGATGACCAGTGTGCAAGATGTGACGTGTCTCTTGGCGGCTTCAAGTTCCCGTTCATTGGCACCTGGTGTCGGCGTGCAGTCTTGGTTCAAGAAGGTGCGTCTGCAGAGGAGGCCTGGGCCGCCTATAGGAGGATCGCCTGTCAGAGGCCATGGTGGCTGAAGCAGGCAGTGGCCTCCGTGCCCAGGACATCATCCCGATGTACGTCTCCGCCATTGCTGGACGGGTGGAATCGGGAGACCTCCCCTTCGTATCCTTCAGGGCTTCATGGGGACCTGGAGGAGATGGAGTTTGGGGTCTCGGAGTTGGACCGAGCCATGGCCCAGGGAGGGTGACTCCCAGGCTTCTCCGTGGGTGCTGGACGAAGGGAGGAGGAACCTCCCTTTGGGCGGGCTTTGCGCCTACTGCGGCAGCAGGGCTCATTCTGTTTGCGCGTCATGCGGCATCCACCAATGTGAAGCCTGCCCCATCCGTTGCTGCCAAGGCTCTACGCTGGGGGGTGCTGCTCCTTGCCATGGCGTTTCGCGGTGACGCTACTCCTGGGCGCTATGCCACTGAAGCCATGGAGCACTCCGGGGGCGACCCGGGCGGCTCTGGCGAGGGGCTCATGTCTCGTGTCCAGGAGGCCAACGTTCGCGCCTTTCGGCAGAAGCACGGTCTGATGCAGGACTCCGACTTCGGCTTTGCCTTTGAGGCCTTCGAGGATGCCGTCCGTGTGGGTGGCCACTTCGTAGCCGCTGAATGGGCGCGGGTGCGGGCGGAGCAGCAAGCCCACCTTCTCCCAGCAGCTGCGGCAGTGGTGGAGGTGGATCCCTGGCGAGTGACGCCGGTGGGGCCATCGACCCTCCGCCGGCCGGCGGTGCGGCTCCCAACGAGCAATGTGGGCCTGCGGTTGAGGCAGAACCGGATAACGCCGAGGCGGTCGGCCGCAGGGTCAACCTGCTGACAGAGGCCTTCATGAAGCTGAGCGTCCTTCGACCTCGGAGGCATGATGACCCGAAGCGCTACGCTGACTGGCAGCAAGCGGTTCGGAGGCTTGCTCAGGAACGAGTCACCCAGTCTGAGGCGACCACGATCCTGAACGCTGCGAGGACGTTCCAGGAGCTCTCGCTCTTCCTCGCGGCCAGGGACGTGCAGGACCCAGAGGAGTTGGACTTTCACGCCTTCCTCGAGCAGGCTATGTCGCCCTCGCGAGCGCTGCAGTCCTTGCGCTGGCTGTCCAACAATGGCAGATTGCAGTGGCAGCTGGACCGCCTGAAGTTGGTCTTCCAGGACGGTGGCGTGCAGATCCGGGAAGCCTTTGTGGCCGTCATCCCCTCGCAGGTCTATGACATGTGGGGACCAGGCGACCATAAAATAGCTTAATTGGAGCTATTTATGGTGGTGCACGCCCTCACGGCAAGACCCGACCAATTCCGCGGGAGACGCGGGGTGTGGTTCATCGATAACATCGCCAGTCTTATGTGTTTGATCAGGGGCAGGAGTGACAACCCCGACTTGGCCAAGATGGCGACGCACATTCAGTGTTTGCTCTTCGCCTTGCGAGCCTCACTCTACTGGGAATACATTCCATCCAAATCCAATTGGGCCGATGCGATCAGCCGATTGGGACCCAGTGACCCATGGTACAGGGCCAACAACTTCAAGCTGAATTTCAGTCTTTTCCCCCCAGCTCTACTGAGGCTTCCGTACCGAGCCGTGATTACCTTTGCTGAGTTTCTGTGAGTGCATTGGGAGAGGTTGTGAAAGTAAGTGCTTTGGGAGATGTATCCTGCTTGGAAATCGGCGAATTGACTGGGCCACAGCATGAGGAAATTCATGCTGTGGATACCAACGCAAATCCCACAGGCAAAGGTGGGTTATCAGACTCGTATAGCATCGCTTGGAGTGAAAATGCTGCGGTGCTGTTTATATCAAACCTCCTTGGGAATGAAAAACAAAAAAATCCGCGCGACACGCGACGCGAGGCGCCGTACATCTTGGGCACGTCGCTGTGCAGCTGCTTCGCCTTTCTGGTCGTCTCCTGCTGGAGCTCCAGCACCGTCTCCGCGCCTCGACAACTCACTCGGATGGATTCGCTGGGGGGGTGAAGTATGGCTGTGGGTCAAAACTAATGGGTTCCCATTTTGGGGTAGATGAATTCACCACCCATTTTAGAACCTATTTTAGTGGGGATTGGGATGTTCACTGGGGGTACGGGGTTTTGACCGATGGCCATATGTGAAGTAATGATGGGCATCCCACGTTAGTTGGCATCACAAGGGTGATTTCCACGGTTTGAGGCTACTAGTAAGCTTTGTTTATGGCTTTAAATGGAACCAAAGGGAGAACCGCCACTTTTGTGGTTGTGTTCCTTCTTTTGGGGGGGGCCCCTTAAAAATGGCACACCCATATGTACAGTACTGTACTGATGACTGTAGCCAAGGGGACGAACGACATTGGGCACTCTCGAGGGTACTCACCAAATTCCCCTGTTATAGCGGCACACAATGAATATTGATCGTGGCTCATGTTTTTGTTGTGCTTTTTTTTTCTGTGGACTGCATACTTCAGCTGGATGGGAATGCTATAAATGGGCATGGTGTTCTCTCGACATGAGCCGACCATGCTGGCAGTATCTAGTCCAATTGCCAGACTTAACTTGTCGCTTTTTTGCTCTGGTACCAACTGTTGAAGGTTGTGCCTGGTAGGTCCATTCAACCAGACAGTTTATTATCGTGCTGATGGGGGGCTAAGTAGTGCCCACGTCCATGATGTTTCTACCGCTTTCTAGCTGACATCTAGCTGGCTACAATGCATGTTGGCACATGCGAAAGAGCATATATAGTGCTGTTAAGCAGTCGCTTGTAGAACCAAATGCAACGTTTGAAATCGCTCACCTTCTGCAATGCGTGGCAATCCAGTTCATACGTTTGGGATCTCTCAACTCCTTCAAAAGTGGCAACTTCATTGAATCCCACTGGCTGTTTCCGGCTTTCAATTACTCTTGAGGAGGAAGTCAGTGACCTGCGTGCTGAGGTTGCCGTAGTCTGCCTGGTGCTGATCATGCTGCAATTCAGCACCTGCGATCTCTTGACAGAGGCTCGGGGGGTGGACACGAGCACGAAACGAGGTCAACGGAAGATGGGACTATCACCCAGACCTCCGGTGGAAATTCTTATAGTATCCTTGCTGATGTGATCTCCTTCTCAAGTCAACTTCTGAAGGCCACTGGAAGCAGTAATCGCCAAAGGGCGCTTTCAGGCTCCGGCCAAATCGATGCCCGATCTGAGCTTTGAACTAGCACCCGGTTGAGCACATACCTCTGGTGTCATGATACCAAGCGAGGTGCAGCGAAGATCTCAACCCTCGAGATGGGAAACTCTTTTGAGTTCGGGCGCCAGCCTCAAGCCTGGGACATGGACCCCCATGCAGAAAGCTTGAACCAAATCAACGGGTTGTTTTGTTGTGTGACCGAACTCCTCTGGGAAAGAAAGTTGGCCACGAAAACCTGTGGGGTGCTAAACCACAGCGTTGGGCCGGCTTGGGTCGAAGATTTGCCCTTTTAGGGCATGCGGAGATTGTAAGGACATAAGTTGTGAAGTTCGGTTGGTCGCAGTTGCGAAGAATTTGCGGGCAAGCCGGCGGCAAGCACCGAGCCCAACCCACAAGATACACTAGCGGTATAGAGTTTGGCCTGTGTACTGCCGGCTCACAAGCCAAGATTTGGCCTTGGCAAACCTTTGGCTTGGGGATTTTGGGGGCAGTGAATCTGTTTCCCGACAAACGGCAACCTGCCCGAGCTGGGAGAAGTAAATCCTAGTGCTTCTGTGAAATGGATGCTTAAAGCGGGCGGCATACGGCATATCGGATACATCACTTGTCCCCCCCAGATCCCTCAACTGGCGGTGACCATAGCCAAACAGCCCCCATTTCCGTTCGACAAACCTATTTCCCAACCAAAAGACCCAACACAAAACAGGTTTCCCAACCAAAAGACCCAACAAAAAAATGGGTTTCCCAACCAAAAGACCCAACAAAACTCCGGGTTTCCCAACCAAGACCAAAAACACAACAAAAAATACTCCGGATGGTCGCCCCACTTGTTTCTGCCGCGCGGAGTCTTCGTGTCGCGACGTGAGGCCCGGTATGCGGCGAAGATGCAGCTGGCGCCGGAGGCGGGCCCCGATCTGCTGAGCTTTGTTTGGGCCGGGATCAATGGCGCGGCCTTCCTCGCCATGCTGGCCTCAGGCGCGTTTTGGAACGGATCGATCGTGGGCGGTGGGTCGTTTGTTGGGAGGGTAGCCCCAGCTGGTTGTGGTTTTTTGGTTTATAAAGGGAAAGCAAGAGGAAAACCAGAATTTGGGGGGGGGAGGGGGACACCTGAAAAAAGACACACCTCACCTAAGTAAAACCCGTGGTTGGATTTCATTGAGGGGTGTCCCCTTAGTGTCTTTTTGTGGGAATCTGATTTTCACTGTTGTGGGTGACACCCTCAACAGGTTTTGAACCATCGAACTGGTGAGCCACGTCCTCAAGTTTCGGGTAGGCGAAGGTTAGTAAGGGGCAGTCCCAGGCAGAAATGGGCACGGCCACCTTTTTATCTTCCTTACCTGGATTGGGGTAGACCATTTTAAAGCCAGGTTTTGGTATTGACTCACCTGGAAGCCCACAAGGAGCTCTTGGAAGTGAAGCCAATGGAAGAGCCAAACCGGGTGGTTCCCTCCGAAGCGAATGAGTCGCTTCGGGCGGAGTTGGAGTCATTGGCGGAGCCGATGGCATGTAGGTTCGAGCGGTTCTTTCGAAACAGAGGAGGTAGTACGAGCGAAAAGCCAAGGCCAGTTTCTTGTTGTGGAACTAGGTCCCCCAGCAAGGTGCCCTTTGTAACCCCTTTTTTGGTTTTTTGGGGGAGGTTTCCCCTGCTAGAATAGACTACAGAAAAAAGGGTACCCTTATTCTAACCTCTCTACTGGAGGACCTAGGGAAATATTGGGAGATTTGCTGAATTATGATTCGCACCGAACAACTGGTTTAGGAAATGATGGAGCACACGCAAAAACTGAATGGCCATGACTTACTTGATACCCATCAGAAAATCCGCAATGAGGGACCCGTTCCTCTTGGTTGGTCTTATCCATCCCACGCAGTTCTCTACTCGATGATCACCTGCTTGGTTGCCCTACTCAGTCGCTGGGTATGTGTTGTAGTCAACAGCCCTTGAGGATAAACTGGGGTGTCAGGGGTTGCAGACACGCGTTCTTGCTGCACCGTTTTCGCCGGGTAAAAGAGCTGTGCTCTTTCAAACTGCGCAACATGTCTGTTAATGAATCAGTAAAATACCAGTCTGTGGAGTCTTCCAGGGCGGCGCATGGCGCGAAGAGCCACTCAATGTCAATCAACACCAGGTGACAATCTCTGATTTTCCCCGTGTCCTTTACGGGGACCCGTGTAGTTTGATGTGACTTTAGTGCGTTCTTCAAGAACAGGGACCGCAACTTCAATGTTGGCAGTTTGTTTTGGGTTCTCTTCAAACCAAGATGAAGAAACAAACCAAGCTTCAAAAAGCCACATAAAGATTCCAGGAACCCAAAAGAAAGTCACCGATTTGGGGATGGGAGAAACCCAAAGAACTGCATGCCTTGTGCATGAAACACCCATAAAAGGCTGGGTAATGCGAGAACTGGGAAACACAAGGCCAAACTTCCTCGGCCGCAGGCAGTCTGCAAGCAAGATGACACCATGTGTTCGGAAACAATGTGGCTTAAACAACACTGGAAATGACAGCATTGGTAGATCTTGGTCTCAGCGCATGGCGAATTAAACTTTCAGTTAACCTCGAGTTTGTAGTTTTGATGTGTGGTTTGGCCCAGTTCTTGTATAGGGGAAAAAGGGGGTCTGAAGAATGGGTTGAACAAAGAATACCCTTATAAAGAAACACTGCCCCACCCTTTTGTTGAAAAAGGTAAATGGGTTAAATCACAGTGGAAGCCAAAAAAAACACAGCTCTCAGTTCACCCCCAGTTGGTTATGTGTGGTCTTAACCCATGGGTGCCCCACCCCCTTCTTGTATAAGCTAAGTGGGTTAAATCACAGTTCAACCCCCCCCCAGTTGGTTTGGACGTGTGTTTCGGGGGGTCTGAAAGTCTGACATGGGTCGGAGCTCTCAGGTCCCATGCTCCACGACTGGGGCCCGCGCCTGGCATTACTGGCCGCCGCTGTTCCGGCGGGCATGGTGCTGGTGCCGGTGCTGCTTTCCGCCTGAAGTCATAGCCCAGTGGAGTCCGCCCGTTTTTCGTTTCCTTTTTTTGGGTAAGGGTTCCGATTCATTTCACCGTAATCTCAACCAAACAAGGATGACCTTTCTTTCCCATGGAAATCCACTGGGCATCTGAGTGTTTTTATTACCAGAGTTTAAGGGGCACCCCCGCCCCAGTGGTTCAGAGCCCCAGCTTTGCCCCCCCCCCCACCCCTCCCCCCTGGGAAACAAGGAGGACACCAAATGCCCCCCCCCCCGCTTGGCCCGCTTGGATTGGGAAAGCAGGAGGAGGCCAGGCATTTTGTGGTCGAATCCAATCTTCAGCGCATGCTTCGCCGCATGCCTGAGGCTTGGGTGCCTGGAAGAGCGCAAGGTCTCGCAAGAGGAGTGCGTTGCTTTGGTGGCCAATGCGACGGGACGTGTTGGTCCAACGATTTTTTGAAGGGGTCCCTTTCATTGAACTTGGAATTGCCTTTGTGCTGGCTGCTTTATGTGGTATCATGTTGAATCTGTTTGGTGAGATTCTGATTTTTGTGCTTGTGGACTGTTGGTCGCCGGGATGTTAAGTGGGCACAACTGCGACTCGTCCCTTGCGGCTAGGTAGGCCCTGTTGAGCTTGGCTCAGTTTCCTTTTGGTCTCGGAGGGCAATTTGTTCAGGATTGTTTTTTTGGGGGGGGATTTTGCTTGTTTTTCTGCGGGCTGTTGTCCGGCAACTGGTGTTTGTTCGGATTCCGCCCCGTAACGAATTCTCTTCTCCCCGCTTCTCCCTCTCATTCTGGTTGCCCAAACGGAGCTTCCAATCCCGGAACCGCCAGGAGCTGCACGCCATTCGTCAGCGCTACTTTGAGCAGCGCGAGACCTGCTTCCTCTGCATGTTGATGTTGGCTGCTTGGCATTGCCGGTTTTTGTTTTTTTTCTTGGACAGGTGGCAGAAGGTTTGGATCAGTCTGCTTTCCTACCACGCCTGCTGTCTTGCTTGGGTTGAAAAAGCGGGAATTGTTTGCCATGAGGCAGAAAGTGAGCCTTCGTAGCCTGCAGCATTTGATGGAATCTTGAAAGACGTTGTAGATAGGCACAAATTCCACAGGATGTCAGGAGCAGTCGCAGTGATCTTTCCATAGGCACTGTGCCTTCAATTCATTGGGCTGGAGGCTTCTTGCTTCTAAGCGACACCAAGACGCCAAGACCGGCTTGCACTCAACTTTTTGGTTTTGCAGCTGCCTCTGTCAAGGGAAATAGGGAGCCAATCAAAATGTTGATCCTTGGGCGGTTCTTGTCAAAAACGGCTTGGAGCATATGGGTGTGTCAGGGCTGTCGCAGGCTGGAGCATTGGCCATCATGATGACCGGCTTGCTGCAGCACGACCCCGTGGTCAACTTTGCGGTGTCTTTGTTTACTGCCCTGTATCTTGGTGGAAATATTGGAACCATGTGGCTGTGGGTCAAAACCGTTTTGGGATCCCATTTTGGGGGTAGCTGATTTCACCACCCATTTTAGAACCTATTTTAGCACTGGGGGTACGGGATTTTGACCCATACCCAAGTTGGAACGATGTAGCCGCACCGGAGCATGCGGCAAGAGGCATGTCTTGTAGTCATGGGAAGATCCTTCAAGGGCAAATCAGATTGTGCTTTCCCGAGCCTTCCCTTTCCACTTTGACACTCAACCGGAAAAGGGCTCCAAAGACCATCCGCCCATTCGTAAGGATGTTATCAATGTGTGCTAGGGATATGACCGCCCACGTAATGTGGTTTGACAAAGGCACACGTGTGTACATGAATGCTTGTACGTGTGGGTCGTTTTTTTGGGGGGGAATAAAGCAAAAGCCTATGGGCAGCCAGACTTCTGCCAAGGTTCATTCTGCTTTGCTTCTCTGTTTGCCTGACGCCTACAATTGCAAGGGCCAATGCCTTTGCGGTGCTTTACACTGGCCTATCTGCCTCAATCTCTGGGGCGTCTTTCTATTTCTACACGGACTCGCCGGACATTTACCCGGCAGGCCCCCACTTTTCGGATTTCTTTTACAACACGGTGCTGGGTGCAGTAGGCACAGTGGTGTCGTTGCTGGGGATCTACCTGTACCAGCAATATCTGAGCGACCTGACCTATCGCCAGCTCATTGTGGTGACGTCGCTGGCGATGTTTGCTTTTAGCCTTCTGGACGTGATGATGTTCGCGCGGCTGAACGTGAGGATGGGCATCCCAGACCACTGGCTGGTGCTCGGACTCTCGGTGTGCGAGCAGATTATCTGGCAGTGGCAATGGATGCCGCAGGCGCACTGTGTTTAAAAGGATAGCTGATTGCACAAGTGCCATACACTGCTTGGTATTCCCTCATACGCGCCTGACGAGAGCAGTGTTTTGCTACAGCGGCCTGTTAAAAGATGTAAAGGCTAGGCAAGACTCCCACATGTCACATTGAAAGAATCGCGCACACTTTGTTGGGACGGGCACGGGGACTCGAAAACACTGTGGAACCATAGCGCGGGCTGAGTTTGTTCTCTTTCTGCTGCAAAACGGCGTTTGCGGACAGCAGAATGCAACAAGCGTGTTGCTAAACCACAAGACTTGCTGGTGCTCAGTAGGGAATGACCCAGGGTTTTGGGAATGAACCTGGAGATTATCTTAAAGGAAACCATAGGGTATGGTTTATGGGGGGCATTCCCTCATTCTTTGCTGAGAATCAGCAAGATCAACCAAACGAGACAAATCCCAAGCTCGGGCGAACCTAGTGGCTCCGGAGATGCACATCACTCAAGTAAGGTTGACGGGCTTCAAGGCTTGCCCTGAACGGAAGACACTGCTAACGTTGATGAGCAGTTTCAGATCAAAGGAAATCAGAGATAATGTCGACCCGGGTTTAGTACTGGTTGGAATCAGACCACTTTTGGAGGGTGTTCACCCCCCTATAAACTGGTGATGAATCTGGGGTCAACGTTATGCATCCAATTCAGGGGCTCCAGGATGTGGCACTTGTGATGAGATAGCCAGAAGTGTGAGTACTGGCATGGGCTCCATGTCAAGGGCTCCATTTGTTTATGCCAACTGGTCAAACAGCGCCCACTTCTTTCGGGTCAGATAAGAGCGGCAGCACGGGTCTATGCCTGGCTCTTGAAACCTATGGTTCAATTCATGGGCCCACCTTCCAACATGGCTTGACGTAGATCCTCTTGCAAGAAACCTCCACTAACGTTTTCGGGGTTCCCAAAAACGTCGCCCCCCCCCCACCCGCAGCGCCACGTTCGGGCTCCTTCGTTAGCGGCGCTCGCGAGCGGGGACCGGGGAGGTGGTGCTGCTGGCGGCGCTGTGCCCTGCGGGGATGGAGGCCACGATGCTGGCGCTGCTCGCAGGGTGCCACAACCTCGGCCCCTCGCGCGAGAATCCGAGAGAATCCGAGCGAATCCGAGCGAGGGAGGGAGGGGAAGGGACACCCGCGCTCCCTGAGCGAAGGGGACTTTAGATGGACGTTTGGGAAACAAAGACAAAAGTGGAGTGGTAAAGAGAAGGTTTCGGATTTTGTCTGAGCAATCTCAGCCCAAAGCACGAGGTGGAGGTGGCCCTGCGGTTTCCTTTTAACAGAACCCGAAAGGGTACCCTCGAGAAAAGACAAAGCCACCTAAACCTGTTCTTGTTGTGTTGCTATTCTGTTGTGTTGTTTGATTGCTGGTTGTGCGTGCCTGTCTTTAAAGTTTAAACAAACCAGGAAGAAGAGAACGAAACAGAAGACAAGGCTACGGCCGTCAGAACCTCCTTTGGGCAAGAGCAGTCGACGTGGTGAGTTGAGGGCAACATGGCAGGTTGTTCAGTGACGGGGTCATGAAAGACAGAGCTGTTTACTCTGCCATTTTGTTGGCAGTTGCCACAAAGGTTTTTGAACTCCAAAAGGAGATTCCATGAAACATGTTGGTGTTTTGGGTTCCATGTTGATCTGCAGATGGTGGTACCCTCAGCTTTCAGGTCTACTAGTTTGGGTGCATATTTCACCCCTCCAGAATTGGCTACCTCTGGGCGCAAGGATTTTTTGGGAGAAAGGCACGTAAAGCACAAATACCCAACCGGACAATGGTATCGCTTTGGATGGTTGGTTTGTGGTCAATTTCACTTCGAGGCGGCTTGGAGCAGATTTCAGGGAGAGTTCCGGACATTCCTTTCCAGAACCTTCGGGGGGCGTGGGCAACATGTTTTCAGGGAAGCCCCAAATCGGACGACCCATTTGGATCCGCCCAGGCAACACGCTGGGCTCGAACTTTGGGGCGGTGCTGCTGCACTTGCTGGAGGTGAGGCCCAGAGGCGCGAATGCTCGGACGCCGGACGTTGCGGAGTGCTTTGGGAGAAACAATCTGTACGCTGTGACCTTTGATCCACCTGCAAAAATCAAGAGCTCCACCGGGCTGCTTGCATTCCTGCCAACGTGGCATGCAAAGCACGGGTTTGCTTTGGTCGTCGAGTGGATGGACATCCACTCATTTTTCGGCGAGCGAGCTCAGACTGTGTCGTGCACTGTCGTTCACCGGTCTGCCCTGCATATTGCAGACTCTGGAATACTGCTGGTTCTCAGTAGGGAATGTCGGAATGAACCTGGGGATTCCCTTAAAGGAAACCAGCTGTGGATGGTTTACCCAGGTCATTCCCTCATTCCCTGCGCTCTTCTTGCCCTTGTTGCCGCGCCTTGGGCCTTTGCGCGGCACTTCTTCGAGGACTGCCTTGCCGCTGGACTTGGCAGCCGCGCACCTCGGGTCTGCTTACCGCTTCTGGTATTGCCCCTCCCCCTCTGGTTTTTCCAAAACTCTCCGAGCACCTCCAAGCACCTCCAAACACCTCCATACACCTCCATACACCTCCATACACCTCCATACACCCTCCATACACCTCCATACACCTCCATACACCTCCATACACCCTCCATACACCTCCATACACCTCCAGACTCCAAACCAGAGGATGATCTTCTTCTGGCTCGGCTTGCGGCGCATGCCTTCGCCCTGGGGCCCTTGACCACGACCATCCTGCCGGGGCAAGGGACCCTTCGCACTTGGCCAGTGATTTCGACCCTAGAGCTCGGCCGCCTGTCCCGCGTGCCTCAACCTGCGTCAGCTCACTTTCACCCACCAATTGATTCACTTGCAGTAAGGCTGGCGTGGGCCATGGTGATTTGCAGAAAGTCCGGGTGTGCCCTTGAAGTTCCTTGGGAACCTTTCTGGCCTTTTTTTTTGCCCAAGGTGAAAATCAACCTTTTGGCCTTTCGGTGAGTATATTCTAGTCAAGGTCTCAACAGGTGAGCCTTTGCTTCATGGTTGTTGGGAACCATTTTACATTTTTGCATATTGTGATTTAGTGGTTGAACTCCCCACTGAACTGCTAAGATTTAGAAGTTTGCTCCCCTTCCAACGTCAACCAAGTTCTAACTTCAGCTCCTTTGGGCCTTGAGTTCGGAGTCGGTTGCAGGCCGCGTGGGTGATGCGGCGGAGTTGGAGAACCTCTGGATCGCGGCAGGCGTCAGCTCGGTGCTGCCGCTCTTCACCGCGATCTTCCTAAGGTTCTTGTTGCCGGACTGCTCCTTGGCCTTGACAAGTAATGGAATTCAAACCACCATTACACAAAAGGGGGGTTGATATAACCATCATTGTTTGTTCCAAGGATTGTCACTATCTAAATTGATTCGGTCAACATGGTGGAAATGGTTCGGAATTATGGTTTGAAGCTGAGGGTAAGCATGACAACTTGGCTGGCTGGTTTTTGGCTGGACGCATCGCACATGGACAGAAATCGGCTGTCGATTTTTGTACCACGAAACAAAGAGCAAACCGACGTTTCCATGCACCAACCAGTTGTGGTTTTCCGTTGGGTGTCCTTTAAAGCCACCACAAACAGGGCACCATCATTAAGGCAAATGTCAATCGGATAGATTTTGTCATTTCACCCATTCACCATGTAGAGCCAAAAGCAAACCTGTCTAAAGCCTGGCTAATTGGCGGGTAGTGATGGACATGTCCCATCATTGATAGGCGTGGCCGTCGGTTCAATTGTTACATGTTTTCGGCTACTGTGATTGACTCCTTTAATAGCAGGCTTGGGTTCGGAGTCATTTATACCACACGTGCTGCACCTGACTCATTTGAGACGGCCTTTGGTCGCGAGTTCGGTCAACCCTGGCTAGGTGCCTGGGGCGGTTGGTGACTAGTTGCTTCTGAATTGTTGCTTGGCTCTGAGGCAAGCAGAACGCGAAGATCACCACAGTTGCGGATCCAACGCACAACTCCTTGCTGAGACGGTGGCTGCATAGCTAGCAAGAGGCAAATCGCCCTCGACGAGATGTGCAATTTGGAAAGATTGGCCAAGCAGAGATCACAGCCTTTTCGGTTGGCAGGGACTTGAGACAAGATGTTCCCAAGTGGGTTGAATGCGCCGGGTTCCTTCAGATAAATCTGATTTTCATGGCCAGTATGTTTCCTTCAAGCGTAACATATGCAAAGATCGCTTATTTGTACATATTCGGGGCCTCCCGGTTTGATGCTTTTCTGAATTCCAACTCTTCTCATTCTCATTTTGCCGGCTGTGCAAAGGCAGGTTAGGATGACTGTTCGAGATCCGGCCAATGTGCAACAAGCATGTTGCACAGCGCCATTCAAGTCAGCGCACAAGCCATATATGTGTATATCTGTGTATGCTTGAGTAAAGGTCGTGGTATGGTGGGGCGAGTCTGATGATCAGTTTGGCGGGATGGAACAGAAACAAGAGTTTGTTGCGGAACGTAATGATCAAGCAAGCTTAAGCTTGGTTCTTCCAACCCGCCCAGCATTGACGAACCTCAATCAATCATACATCCACCCTTCAAGAAACCAAGCCAGCCCACACTAGTTCTACACCCCACCCTAAGCCGGCCCTTGAACCTGCTGTGCCATCTCTAACATCACTTCAAATTATGCTAAAGCCAATTCCAAACCCACCCATGACTCACTCAGCCCTCCTTGTGCCCGAAACTCACCCGGAACACCCCTTGCACCGGGCCTCTCTAAAGGTTTCTAAAGGATTAGGGCTTCGCGACAGCAGGTGGGACTGCACTGGCACCAAGCACCAACTGTTTCCTTCCAGGGATTACGATTCCCGCAAAGTGCGGAGAGTTTTGAAGAACACGAGACGCAGCACGCGTTGGGTAATATTTAGGCGATCTTAATATTACTGTGGGTCAAAACCAATGGTACCATGTTGGGTAGGTGCACCACCCATTTTAGACCTTCTTTAGTGGGGATTGGGATGTTCACTGGAGGTACTTGGGATTTTGACCCATCTCCCCCCCCCAAAAAAAAGAAAGGGCAGGTTCCCTATTGGTTTCCCTTTAGCCCACAAAAAAACAGGGGTACATGCAGCTCGCAGGAACAACTTCGCCAAAGCTGCGAAGTGGAGCCCTGATGGCAGCGCCGGCGGCCCAGAATCCGAAGCTTTCAGCCTCTCGTGGCTGTTTCACGTGTCCATTCCCTGGCAAGGGCCTGCCCAGGGCTCATGCAGTGCTGGCCAAGGAAAGTCAAGATATTCAGTTGCATGAGGCGAGCTGCCCAACGCTCAGACCTTCCCTTGTTCGAGTTTAATGGAACACCGGAAGTTGTACAAGACTTGTTTTCTTTGTTGGTTGTTTTGTTCTAGTTGTTGCTGTTGGTCGCTTGGCCTGGTTTGTTGTTTGCGTGTGTTTGTGTGTGGTTGTGACTGATGGCCTTTTTCTGAATGTTTCCGCCTTCTCCTGTTTGGAACAGTTTCCCCAGACGGAAGTGCCAGTTCGATGTTTGCCGGGCAGGCCTTTCTGGCTCTTTTCGGAGAAAGTGAGACTTGGAAATGGAGACTCAGAATGGTCCGTGAGCTTAACAATATGTTGACCATGTTGACCCATTCGCAAATAGAAAGCAGAAGTTCAAGGTTCGAGCATGTGCATCGATGTAAGTCGAGGCTTCCAGGATAGAATTGAATTCCGAATCGAATACATGGTGCATGCCTGACACTCAAGCGCTTCTCTGCTGGGATTGGGGGAAGCCATGCCTCATGACAAGTTGCTCGCTCGTGGCAAAATGAAGGACGGAACCCAAACGATGGCCCTTGAGGCGGCATGTTGGCGTTTTTGAGGGTGGCTGACCTTGTCCGATCTTCGCAAAATATATTGTTCACTGATAGGTCGTCCGCTTGAACAGACCATGTGAGTGGCAAACACAAAGTTTGCAATGTCTGGACTTCTTGATCCACGCTGAGCTATTCAACCTTCTCTTTTCCCGGGTGCTTTGGATTGCTAACCCAAGGTTGCCATCGCTGTTCATGATGACGAGATCCTGCGCATGTACCAGGCGTGAAAACTCGATCTCAATAGCACGAGGGGGTCGCCCGACAGGAGAATCCTCGAACAAAACGCCGGCTTATGGGGCTCTGTGCTTTTTTCAGAAGGGGAGTAACCGCAAGGATTGACGCGCGTTGAATGGTGGCGTTGTCTTCCTACGCCATTCACAAAAGGGAGCTCGACCTCGGGACATCCCCCTATTGCTGTGACGGTTTTCGCGTTCTGAAACGGACCCATTTCACTTGGGAAAAGCATTCTTGGGGGAAAGCAAGCAATGTTTGGCCTGAGAGGTCAAGTAGTGCTGGCTTCCATGTGTGAGATCGGTCGATGCAAAAACAATTGGATACTATTCGGCAAAGAAGCTAAGATTCAGTTCCTCCTTGCATGTTTTGCTTCGGGCAAGAGAATGGGGCCTCAATTCCCCTTTTGGAGTTGCCCTCTTTTGGAGTTGCCTATGCGTCACTCCACCGTTCTTGGCATATGGGTGGGTTTCTTTTTCTGGAGAGCCCCTGTTGGGTTGGTCTTAAAAGGAATCCAAAAGGAAACTCCATTTTGGGGGGGGGTCCCCCTAATTTTGAGGCACACCCACATATGTTTCAGTTGTCTCTACTGCTATTGTATTGGATCTTCGGATTGGATACCTCTTATATATGTCCTTTTCACCCTCAAAATGTGTTTACACTGTTTGCTGGGGGGGATCTACAGCACCCAAGTTTGTTGTTCACGTTTGCCTCTCCCAAAAGATGGATCTTTGTGGGCGTTTTGGGCTTTCCGGTGTTCGACTTTCCGGTGTTTGACTTTCGGGTGTGGCAGGTGCCGCAGGCCGAGGACTTGGAAGGCCCAGCCAGACGTCCAAGCAACAGCACCCCAACGTCTGCCTTTTTTGGGATGGGGATTTTGGACCATGGGAACAAGCAGAAAAGTTGGGGTGGGTGGGGGGCGGCATCTGGGAAAGAAAATGCTGGGGATTTTGGACATGGGCAAATGGAATGTGGAATTCCTGGTGTCATTCTCTACTGGTGCATGTGATTTATGTGAGCAGTGACTCTCAACTCATGTCATGGTGTTGGTGCCTTTACAGTGTCCGCACAAAATGTTGCAAACTCAGTTTGGGATCACACTAGCTCGCCCATGCTGCTGTGTTCATTCGTAGAACCCTTTCTACAACCACGCAGCTATGATGTTGAATGTGTGTAAGAGTTGCAGTGCTGCATACCGTTTATCTCATGGCAGCGCCAGGAACCAAAACCCTGTTTCCCTACGCAGAGACCGCGGAGGGAGGACCAGCTTCTCGCTTAGCCATGCCATCGGTTGGGGATGCCACACAAGGAGTTGATCACGAATCCTCAGAGTTTGGCAGGGATATGGAAACGTGTTGAACCATGCAAATAGAATAGCACAAACCGCTATCGTTTCGTGCGGATTGGCAAAGCAAACCAACCGCTGCCAAACACACAGCATGATGGCTCCAGTTAAGCCTCCAACCACCAAGCCACTTTGCAGCATCCTCGTCGACAATGCGAGTGTGAGTCGATATTCAAACACATGTTCTGCTGATGTCTGACAAGCTGCGAGTGGCACGTCCCGGACTCTCAGGTCACATGAACTACAAAGACTGCCACTGTAAAACAATCCGGCATGAACAATTGACCGCTGCTCCATCGAACTTGTATTTCATTTCAATGCAATCCTTTTCTGGAGTCCTGCAAAAAAAGTATTTTTCATCTTGTTAAACTCACTTCCTGAGATCCTGAACTTTAGTGACTCTTTGGTCTGGGCCGTTTGCCAATCCACTCGATCGGAACAGTGTGAGCAGAGGCCTAGCTGGGAGGGAGGGAGCGGAATCTGCGCTGCACCCTGAGTCGGCCCAAGGCGAGTCAGTCAGAACTTCCATTGGCTGAAGCCAGATGCTGCTTGTTTTCCCTTGTCGGTTTAGAAGGGAATCTATCACTGGACAGTTTGCATTCTTTCCAGGGGGCGAAATAGTATTTGCAAGTGATCCCTTCTCTCAGAATTCGAGGTTAGTCTCCAATGCAGCATGGAACCCCACCAGAGGGCTCCCTTTCAAAGAAAGATGTCACTTCCGGAGGCTCCTGGACTTTCGTCAGTTTTTGGGGAATACCATTTGAGTGGTACATAAAACGTCCGGACTGTTTCTTGGGCCATCCACTCCATTATCCCGCAAGGTTCCATGGGTAAGCAAAATGATCAGCTTCCCTCCAAATGGGTGGTTTGGTGCTTAGGAGGGGGCTTCCCATTTACCCTCGAGAACCAGGTCCAACTCCCCAAGCCGCGAACCTGACTTCAGACGCGGCCAAAACAAGTTCGCCCCTCGCCAAGGTTTTGGACTTCTGCTTCTTTCCGAGCTTCACCTGGCGCGGAGGGGGGCTTGGTTCGCCCTCGGCATGCCGAACCAAAGAGATGCCGGCAAGCGGCAACGCATGTGAGACGAAAGGTGGTCCAAAGTATTCTTTAAGAAACCTGGACCCTCAAATGTCCCTCAAAAATTGGTTGCCTCAAAATTGAGGGGGTTCATTCCCTATTTGTATGGATAGTTCCAGGGTGCAGGTATCCCTGTTCTAAACACCCGCACTCTACACTCTATCTGCTAGGGATTCCAGCCCATGCTCACAGTCCCCCTGCCCCCCGGGTTAGATTTCCTCATTTACATGACTTGCGTACCAGTCCTTACCCATCCAAGACAAAAGTGTTCCTAGGGAGATTCTACGAGACTCTAGCAATTCAATGTCCCCAATTTGCCGTGAATGGCCCACGTCAGTCCTTTCTTTTTTTGGGGGTTAAACGATGCAATGGTCTTTTGATGGTTTGAAAGGAATGGGACTCCGCTTTGGCAGTTGATCATTGGGAGAAGCAAGGGAGAGCCTTTCTTTGGAGGGCTCCCTGTAACGACATTCCCAGTTGGGTCTGTGGGATGGCACTCACTACGACGCAGTTTATGAATTGAGACGTCATCATCTTGTGGATGGCAGTTGTGAGAAGAATCAGCACAAGTCATGGCCAACCATGCAGATATCAAGGCGGATTGCTGTTTGCCAGAGCAAGCACATGTTTTTTGTTGCACACAACCAATGTATCATGTGTTGGCGATTTGTGGAAGGTGGGGAGTACAGTTCGCGAGCAGCATCTCGGCTTGCAGGGAGTATCCTGGCACTTGCTGCTTCATCACCAGCAGCCAGGCCCGAGTTTCGGACCATGTTTCTGGAGCCATTCAAATAGCTTGCCATAGACATTGACGGCGGCGCTTCGGCGTCTTCAGGGCAGCCCTTTTCCTCCGAATACTGAGGATGTTGTACCCAGCACACCTTGCGAGATGCAATTTCAATCAGGTCTCCATGAGCAAAAAGCCGGATGCCCAGAAATCCCATGCAAGAGTTTTTGCCGACTGCTCATATGAGTAACAATGCATTTTTTTCTTTGAGCTCCGGAATGAAAGGGACGGTCAATTGCCGCCCCAGCAAGCCCTGAAAAGCCAATTGAAGCGATTCCACACCGATCCTTGATCCTTAAACCAGATGAGTTTCGTAGTTTCCCTTGCATGGTGTTCGACGACGGATTAGAATTGGGGATCCCACCCCCGGTCGCGCCAGGACCATCCAATTCATCTTCGGGATGCTGTCACCGGAGAGCTGAGGAACACGTATCGGCCCTTCAACAATGTAGACGAGGCTCGAGGGTGCCGCTTTGGGGGTTGGCTTTTTCAAGAGAACCCAAAAGGAAACCCACCCAGCTGTGGGGGGCCAAATCGGATTTCCAAACAGCGAGCGCAGGTGTGTCACGCTAGCAGCCTGTGCTTCTCACCGGATGGGAGCAAGATCATCGCCGGCTTCTCGCTGTATTTGCGTGCCGGGACCTCGGTCAACTTTGTCGCCGGGCGTTTGAGGACGGAATGAGGACCCAAATGGGGCCCCTAACACCAGACCCCCCCCAGCCACCCACACACACACATATACGCAGTACCGACAAGATCTCATAAAAAGTATTCGAGTTTGCGCAAGAACTGGACACACCTGCTGAAAAGCTTGCTCATGCAATCAAGAGGCATGGAGCCTGAAACGTTATCCTGATCATGCTGCTGCTTGTCAGCATCGCCTTCACAATCACTAGAAGCTATAAGAATCACTGCTTGCACTTGCAGAAGTTGGTTGCTCAAGCATGGATATAGTACATATTTATGGTTGTGTTCTTATTTCTGTGTTTATTAGTTTATAATAGCATTAAGTTGTTTATTTATTTTGGTTTATTTATGCAACAACTTCTTTCATTGGCGATCATACCTTGGCAAAGTCCGTGCCTTTTTGCGGGTGCCGTGCCAAAACCAGGCAGCCTGTTGGCGATTGGACACATTGCCAACGTAGGGTTTGTTTGAAGATAGGGCAACACCAAAACGGGCTAGCCAACATCCTCCCAGGGTGGTCCAGTTGTAGCTGCAGTACTCTTGCATGAGCGTTCCATTTGGGTACAAGTGTACCACTGCTGGAGCTGGCTGGGTAGTTTGGTGCTCTGAAGATCAGATTAGGCTTGGGCCTTTGGGCAATGTGGCATTGGGAGATTGCGGGTGAGGCATGCAGGTACCAAACCAGTGGATCCCAGTTACCAGCTATTTTCCTTTCTTGGTATTTGAAGGGTTGTTTCCGATGCAATCTACAATACAGATAAATGGATCCACTGGGTAGACTATGCAACAAGATCAGGAAAAGGTAGGCACCATGGTTTCCTTTTGGTTTTCCTGTGCCGGCTTGCGGCGGCGTGCTCGTGTGTGCAGAGGTTTTCCACCTGCAGCGGCCGGGAAGGCAGATGGAGGCTGGGGAAATGGGACCGAGCCAAATTGGTTTCAATACCCAGACGCTCATAGACCCTTCTAGGGAGGGTCCGACCCCTCTTAGGGACACCCCAGGGCCCTCAACTATCCTCGGTGCTACATTGTCCGTCAAGGCGATGCTTAAGCGGGCCCTAAGGAGGGGTGAGCTTCCGGAACGGAGATTCCCTGAATTTCATGTGGGCATGTGACGAAATAGGGGGGACCCCTGAAAATGGTGGTTTCCCTTTAAACCAAGGGGGAAAAGGGTACCCTCCAAACAACAAACACCCATGTAGACCAAACATTGTCCCTTGCTTTGGTTTTGCTAGATGTTCTTTCGTCCAGGGTGAGCATTATCGTCATGTCTCGCCAAGTATCGAGCACTGCACTGGGTGTTGAACAGGGCTTATGGAATCTGGACAATTCGCGAATCCACCCGTCCCCTTTTGGTTGAAACCAATAACGTTTGGGTCTCACGAAGCGTGTTCGCGCTGTGGAGAGAAGCATAAACGGGAGGCCACCAGCTGAGTAGCATCGTGTAACCGAGCGTGGCCTTGAAGGCGAGCACGAGCTCGCCCATGTGGAAGATCTCACTTGGGAATATCTTACTTCAGGTCAGTGATTTACAATGCTTAGTGCAGATACATAGGTCTAGAGTGCGCTGGCATATGCTATTTCGCAGTTCCTTGTGGTTCAGGTCCTCGCCGTCTCAGGTATAGCTTTCTCAAACGCCAAGCGAAGACGGGGGTCCCAATTTCGCCTGGGTGTTTAAAGTTCAATGGCGAACTCTTGCTGTTGCTTAGGGAAGGAGGGAATGATCCTAGAACCCATTCCTTGTGGAATGATCCTCAGAACCCATTCCGTGTGGTTTCCTTTAGGGCGACCCCCAGGTTCCAACCATTTTGCAGATTACAGTTCGCAGCTGCCAGGACTGGCTGCTCGGCACCAAGAAGGGCACAGGAGCTCTGGAAAAAGGTGGTTGGAAGTCTTCACTGCCACTGTTTGCATTCCTTTTCAGGCCCAGTTTAAACTGCTCCTGGTGATGAAAGAATCACCTACCGTCCAGCTGCTACTGCTAAAGGCCACCAAGATGTGCTACAATGCGACATGTTGAAAAGGTCGAACATTGTTCGCCAAGGCCACTGTCTGTGAGTAGGGAACTTTTTTTACAGTGAGAGTCATATAGGGATGGGGACATTTTTTTTGACTGTGAGAGTCATGCTGTGGATGGACGAAATCCTGCACCACCCAAGAAACCATGGAATGATATGATCTTCTGTAAATACCAACAAACAATGGTTTCCCCTGGTGTCTTGGGAGGTGCGAAATGGATTTTGTCCATCCACAGTAGGGATAGGAATTCGCTGCCTGCTCCGCTGAGTCGCGCTGCGCAGGACAGAAGGGCATCATCGGAGCGGTGGCCGCCTCTCTGTGGCAGCCTGGACTGTGCGCCCTGCGGCGTGGTCTGGCAGAAAAAGGCTGCTATGTTCAGGTTCCCCTTGCTTGGTTTGAACTCCTGCTTCTTGTAGAACGTACTAATTCCTAACCCCCAAACCACCAATTCAAATCACCAATCGGAGGGAAGCTGATATTTGGATTGGATCTTGGGCTCTCACAATGTTTTTTCTTGAGCAAAAGTTAATATTCGGATGGGGCGAATGATACCAGGACAGATAACTGCCGATGACTAGATGAGCTTCCTGGGGCGCCTCGTTTTGGCATTTCATTGCAGTTGCTTTGGTGCATTTTGCTTGGATGTTAGGACTTTAACTTTTGAGAACAAATAAGTTTTCCATTAAACCACTAAAAGTTAAGCTTTTAGCAGAGAACAGAAAGCAACCCAGGTTGTATGGGGAGAAACTTCGATTAAAGTGACCAAACGCGCGGACGGGCCACCAATCCTGTCCAAGTAGCCCGAGGTTGTTCCGGTGGTTGCCTTGTTCGTTGTGCGCATGTGCCAGTTTCCCATCGAGTGGAGCTACTTGAGTTGGAGCTGTCCATTTTGCGAAAAGAGCAGAACTGACAAATGAAGAGCTGCCTCGCTTGCCCAAAGCGAATCGACCTTTGGACCTTTGAACCGTCCCTTGCTTGGCCCAACCTTTTGCCGTGACCCCCAAAGGTTACCCTTTGATTTCTGGGTGCGTGAGGGGCAAAGCGCCGGTTGAAGTAGTGGCACTTTTTGTCCTGGCACATACTGTGGGTGGACGAAATCCATTTCGCACCACCCAAGAAACCCTGGAAGGATGTGTTTCCCCCTGTAAATTCCAACAAATATTGGTTTCCCATGGGTTCA